AAAAACAAAAAGGATCCAGCTGATTACCGTCCTGATATTTTGCACCAGGTAAATCTGATTTCTATATCGTTGACTTTGTATTGTGATTAACCCTTCAATTTGTTCGATAACAAATCCCAGTTTCAGTGCCTACTGAATTTACTAGACAGTCCATTAAACCGAGCTGGCCAGTTGCAAGTCTTTTTCCGCACTAATAAAAATGTCCTTGTGCAAGTTAGCCCTCAATGTCGAATTCCTAGAACTTTCGATAGGTTTTGTGGCCTTATGGGTAAGTTCGCATCTTCTCTTATTTCGCTTTCTTCTAATTTCTTCCGTTTGTCAATGGTTCCTTCCAGTGATATTGCCATGTTTTGAGCTCGAAATTGTTCTATGAATATTGACGTTCGATTTGTTGAAAACTAATGTTCTCAACTTGCATCTCCCGGATAATTTTCTGGAGTTTTGTTGGTTTCAAATATACGAATTCTAGTTCAACTTCTGCACAAACTAGTCGTACGTGCTGCAGATAGCTCACAAAAGTTACTGACGGTAAGTCTCTTTCGCTCTTTTTACCCATTTTTCATGTAATGATAGATTTACTATAGAACAGTACAAGGGCATTTAAAAGCAAGCAGGCTAATCATTACAATCAAACTGTTTGTGCTAAGATCCGAGTTTTGTGTAAACTTTCATTGAAATCATATTTGCGGGAGGGAAGGAAATATATCAAAGCTGTATGAGTTATGACTTCATGAATGATAGTTCTAATTGACAGCCCTGGTAGGCTCAAGTGCACATAAATTCTGCAAAGCTTATCGTACTTTTAATGTAACATCGTCGTTCATCACTAAAAAGATCGCTACGCTGATTTTAGCGAGCATTAATAAAAACTTTTTTTAGATCTAGCTTGGATTGTAATTGTAAAGAGTATAGTTGTAGAAATGCAAAATTGATTTTTTACCAAATTCATGTTGTTTTGATCTTGACATTTTTTCGAAGGCTCTATATGCTCGAAAAAAGTACAAATAGAGTGAAGAAAGTGAATTGTTCACACTTGTGCGCCGAGCGCTACTAGCACTACTACAAACTATCAGCTGGCAATAGCTATGGTCCATAAATTCCGTCACTCATGCTGCTGTATATGTCTGCCATCCTCAGGCACCCATCGCTTGACTATGGCTGTTTCTACTATGTAAAACCCCAATGTAACTCGTCGTTGAGCAGCTGACTCCCAAAAAACATCCTAGGCTACCAATATGTAAGCTTGTTTGACTTGATCGATTTACGCATAGCAAAACTTTAGACGGATGTCAACTTATTATAGAGACCAGACTTCCACATGGAACACGGTCTCCTAGATATAACTCCTATGTACAATTGCTTGTGATATATTCCATTAGAAGGGGATTGCAACAGTAGGTACATGCTAGGAATCCTCACATTCTCCGCTTTTAGATAGTTAGGCTGTTGAGATAAGATTGTACGTTTTTGTGAGGGTGGGCGAGAATATGTGTACTGCGATTCTCAGATCGCATGTCGCAACCCTTTAATGTTCTTATTTGCGTGAGAATGCCTGCTATAAGATGCTCACCGACCCTTCACCAAAAAAGATGAGTTTAACCCTGTATGGTCATGTGTGGAGAACTCCTCGAAATACTTGCGTGGCTTACCGAAGCCTTTCTACAAAATGCTTAGAGAAAATTTTAGCATTTCCAAAATTCCCCTAAATGTTTCCTGACAAATGGAAGTGAAATTCCACTTGTCATATCAATCAGCCAACCACAACTGCACGATTTTGGGTTCAGGGATAATTTTTTAAAAAGTTGAATGAAGTCCTGTTCTATAAAAACACTTCGTCGAATTGAGCCAAGTTTTATAATATCACATGTATGATTGACATGCGGCTTATGACTTTGATTTGAACGTATATTGATGGATCACCCATTTAGGTAGTCAAAAATCCCGTCACAAATTACTTGCCTGTGGGATGTCGGAAGATTTTGATGACATTTAACACTGAAGAGCTTGTGTTACCAAGCAAGCTTGTTTCTCCAAAAGACGAAGCTCCCATTGCGGTTGTCATTGGAGGAATAGCTCGAGGGAAGGTTAGTGCATTTTATATATTTATTATTTTCAAGCATAAGTTGATATTATAGATAGTCACAGACTATACCGATCGGGACCTCAAAATAAGCAACTATCCTTTGAGTGCTGCGTTGACATGTGCAAAGGTTACGAGTGGTCTGGAAGAAACGTGGGGCATTGTTTAGTGTCTCAGTATCTGATTGTTATTGTCGCTGTATATCATTTGCAAGTTATTGTTTGAGTTACAATCTTTAAATTGTTGTTTTTGTTTCTTTTTTTT